GTTATAAATACATATTATTAATAACAGTTATGAGATCATATAATTGTGAATGTATATATGAAATTGATAAAATAAAAATTATAAAATAAAAAAAATTAAGAAAAAAACTTTAAGGAGAAATACAACAGTCTGGAATTTAAAAACAATTAGGTTGCAAGTATTGCAAAAAAAATTGACACTAGAGCAGCAGAAAAAAGTGTTCACATAGTTAAGGTGTGGAAACATTTCAAAATAGAGGCTGCTGGGAAAAGTAAAGAGGTGCAACAGACCTCTCTTAGGAAAAAGATGAAAGACTACTTCTTATCCAAAGCTCACATCTTCTGCACAGAGAAGTTGAAGTAGTGTGAGCAGGATGCAATTAGTAAAGGACTGGACAAAATTACAGAAAAGTATTTAGGTAGTACTTGTTGAGTATTCAATATAGTTTACGACCTAGTCCAAAGATCAAAACCATTTTCTGAAAGTGTGATAGAATCACAAATTTAAAATGGAGTACATCTGGGAATAGGATTGCATTCACGTAAAATTGCAGTGAAAATAGTTGATTTCATTGCAAAAGATATTAGAAAACAATTATTTACTAAAATTATTGAAAAAAATCTCAAACTATGTTTAATTATTGACAAAGCCTCAACAATATCTTGCAAACCAGTTCTTATACTTTACTTAAAAGTTGAGGATTCAGTTAACTCACCAACAATTTTCCTTGAGCTAGTTGAATTGGTAAAACAAGATGCAAAGACAATATGTTTTTCAGTTATGGAAACTTTAAAAAATGTTGGTTTACTAAGAACTACCTACAAAAAAAAATTAATAGCATTTTGCTCTGATGGTGCCAGTGTTATGTTTGGGAGAAAATCTGGAGTGAGCACTAGAATAGCAAGAGTTTCCAAACAGCATAATATGGCACTGCATAAGCCATCGTCTCCAACTTGTTTTAGATGACTCCTTAAAGGAAATAAAGCAAGTAAATCATTTTAAAATATGTATTGATAATATATATACTATTTTTCATCAATCCAATATGAACCAAATTGAACAAAATATCAGAACTTGAAATTGACATCATAAAGATTAGTAGAGTTTTTGGACCAAGATGGGCTGCCTGTAGTTTAGGGTCAACCCTACCTGTTTGGCATGCTTATCTAGTGCTAAATCACTATTTTCATTCAAATAATTGCTCTGGTGAGGCACTTTTTAGACTTGTGGACTTCAACTGCCAGAATTCCACAGCCAGGCATGCTCAGTTCCGATTTAAAGCGACAGCATTTT